AACATAGGGAGCTTAACACACGGCGCATGCGCAACATAGGGAGCTTAACACACGGCGCATGCGCAACATAGGGAGCTTAACACACGGCGCATGCGCAACATAGGGAGCTTAAAACACTGGGCATGCGCAACATAGGGAGCTTAACACACGGCGCATGCGCGGCATAGGGAGCTTAACACACGGCGCATGCGCAACATAGGGAGCTTAACACACGGCGCATGCGCAACATAGGGAGCTTAACACACGGCGCATGCGCAGCATAGGGCGCTTAACACACGGCGCATGCGCAACATAGGGAGCTTAACACACGGCGCATGCGCAGCATAGGGCGCTTAACACACGGCGCATGCGCAACATAGGGAGCTTAACACACGGCTCATGCGCGGCATAGGGCGCTTAACACACGGCGCATGCGCAACATAGGGAGCTTAACACACGGCGCATGCGCAACATAGGGAGCTTAACACACTGCGCATGCGCGGCGTAGGGAGCTTAACACACGGCGCATGCGCGGCGTAGGGAGCTTAACACACTGCGCATGCGCAGTATAGGGTGCTTAACACACGGCACATACGCAGTATAGGGTGCTTAACACACACGGCGCATGCGCAGTATGGGGGGAGGGAGCCAGGATGGCCAGTAGCCCTGTGACACCCCCCCCATACTGCGCCTGCTCCCAACAGGCCATCCCAGGGTATATTGGAAGGGTCTGCGCTGTATATTGGGGAGCGTCTGCGCTGTATATTGGGGGGGTCTGCGCTGTATATTGGGAGGGTCTGCGCTGTATATTGGGAGGGTCTGGGCTGTATATTGGGGAGGGTCTGGGCTGTATATTGGGGAGGGTCTGGGCTGTATATTGGGGGGGTCTGCGCTGTATATTGGGAGGGTCTGCGCTGTATATTGGGAGGGTCTGGGCTGTATATTGGGGAGGTCTGCGCTGTATATTGGGGGGGCTGGCTGCACTGTATATTGGGGGGGTCTGCGCTGTATCTTGGGAGGGTCTGTGCTGTATATTGGGAGGGTCTGCGCTGTATATTGCGGGGGTCTGCGCTGTATATTGGGTGGGTCTGCGCTGTATATTGGGGGGTCTGCGCAGTATATTGGGAGGGTCTGCGCTGTATATTGGGGAGGTCTCCCCAGAATATTGTGGGGGTCTGCGCTGTATAGAGCTAAGATTGTGTATCTGATGAACCAACTTAAAGGTAAGGCCTTAACTTGAGCTAATCCATTATCGGATCGTAATAGGAGTATTGCTCATTGTTACCTGGAATACTGATGTTTGAACCATTAGGCAGGGAGGAAGACGCCTCCACTGCCTTAATGCATATCAAACAAGGGAACCAGTCTATCTCAGATTATGCCATAGAATGTCATACTTTGGCATCTGAGGTACACTGGACTAATAATGGATTAATCGCTGCTTTTAAAAATGGATTATCCGAGAATATTCTTGACGAAATTGCTGCCAAAGACCCACCTAAGGGGTAAATTGCTTTATTACTTATGTGATGCAGATCGATAATAGACTCAGGACCAGGGAAATTGCTAGAAACAGAACTAGACGTTTGACTATGTCACTAGCACCTCGATTCTCCAGACCTGTTGTATCTGGCCTTCCGACGCTGTCTGAACCCGAACCTTTGCAATTAGGGGTTACTGGACTGTTGGAGGCAGAGAAACCGTATAGGAGAAGAGAGGGTCTTTGCTTATATTGTGGCAAAAAAGGACACGAGGGATGCTTGTCCTATACGTCTGGAAAACTTCTGCACCTAAGAAACTTAAGGGGACAGGTCTTAGGTATAATGGATACATCCTCAAGCAATTCCCGAAGTAGATTTCACCTTGACATTTCCACCTTTTGCAATGAGAAGAACTTTTCATGCAAAGCCCTGGTTGACTCAGGTGTGACTGGTAATTTTATTGATATAGTGTGTTTCTTAACAAAATATATACCAGTCAGCGAGAGATCATCACTTCTAGCGGTTGAGGCTATTGATGGGAGACCCCTATCTCAACCATTGATTACCCATGAGACCTTGCCTATTTGCATAAGGAAGACATTACCTTCTTGATAAATGCTTACCTCTCTTGTCCCATTGTGTTAGGTTTCCCTTGGCTCATCAAGTCTAACCCTCATATTGACTGGACTAGAGGGGAAATACTGGAATAGAGTAAAGACTGTCAGGAAAACTGCATTGTGATGGAGTTCCCTGTACACTGGCTGGGTACCTCCGCCGACGGATGCTCCTAGTGCTTCTCAAGGACCATCAGCACCGCATAAGACACCATAAGCGCTGCAGACTCCACGAACCGCCGTAGCTTTCCTCGGTGACCAGATTGATCAGGTCTGGCTCTAGGTCGTTAGCTCTAGGGAGATCCAGCATGTCTTCACGGTACTCATATGTCCCAAAACCGTGGCGCTGTAGTATTCCCAAAGTCTGGGTCGTCAAAGATTTCCCATAATAGACCAGGGCCATTGTAATCCTCGCCCTCCGTTTGGACATCCCTAGCCATCCAAGGAATACGCTGAACCGCGTACCACCTTAGCGCCTAGTATGCTCTAGTTTCTCCACCCATACCCCCAGGGACTGCTTCCCCAGGAGAGGCATCCATATTGCAACTCTTGCCTGTAGTCACTGTTTCCTGCTGGGGAGACGCTCACCTTGCCAATGCTGTATATCCTCCAGACCTTTGTATGACAGCTCTTGTCTGGCGGCCTTTCTGTAAGCCAACATGGCATTCTCTGATACAGGTCCATAGTCTAGGACCACGAGGTTCTGCAACCTCCAGTGAAACGCTTCATCCACTCCAAATGCTGTGCAAGGATTAGCTGGTTCCATATTGTGGTAGGTAGGGACGCTGCGCAGTAGCTAGCGTTGCCCTCAATAGAATTCCATACGGTACCGGTGTCTCCAGGGTGCTGCTCCTCACACTAGGACGCCACCACATGTTTGCATCTGTTCCAGTTAAAAGTCCATGGGGCAGAAACAGTACTTTTGAACATGGGTTATCACAGGGCCCATAGTCCCAGGGTAGGAGGCTGGCAAACAGGCCCCTCCAAAAACCAGTGGCGAAGTTGCTTTCGTCACATGCATGTTTAACATTACTTTAAAA